TGTAATAATGGGAGTAATAATTGGCAAGATTTTCATAATAACATAATATTTCATAGGAATATTGAAGTATAATTTCTTTCCCTATTCATTTGTTGTGTCTCCCAAAATGCGTAATAAACATGCTTTTAGTCCCGTTGTCCTCATATGAGGACATGTATGAAATCAACGTCCTGTTTCGTAACAGAAAGTCATATTTTGATTTGAAACCCCATAACATTTTCCTGAGATGTTGATTTATGACACACAGTTTAAAGATCAGTGGCGGCTTGTCGGGGGAGGCAGGGGAGGCACAGGTTCCCCATAATTTTGAGGTGAAAATGGGAGGAGGGCGATTTAATGTTAATAAAATTCACAGTTCATTTCAGTTCATGTCTCAGAATGTGTATTTTTTGTTTGTAATTACAAAATATTATCATATTTCCATAAGAGTGTCACTAAATTAATATCATACATTTTTGAAGACCAAGGAGAGGAAGTGGTCATGGTGAAACATCCAAACATTTAGTATCTCTGAAAAGCCCTGAATGTGCTCTACAGGACATCCAGACTTAAAACTGTGGCATGTATAGTCTCAGAGAAATTCACTAAAATATAATGTCCTCATATAAGGATGCAGGGTCTCAGGAGGTTAAGTTACTGTAGTTCAACAGCCCATTAGCAAGACTCATAGCCCATAAGTTTATCCATTTCAGACTCCCATGTTTGGCTGCCCTATTTTTTTAATTGAGTGATTTTGGACACATTAAAACAATAAAGTTTTTACAATTACAATTACATTATTGAAATATTCATTCAAAAAGATGAATATTTAAGCTTTAAAAGATGCATGGAGACATAAACACATTTATTCATGTCACATACATCTTGAACTGGAGACTGTGAAGTAGGGAATGTTCCTGAATCCAAATACCGTGTTCGGAAAGGAAATTACGTGTAATTGGGTAATTATTCTGTATATAAATTGCGAGCATCAGGGAGCCGCTATTAATATGAGAGGCATCGAAATTGCTTTTGAATGCATGCTTACTTTTTACTTTCATTTTTGAGATTCACAATCACATGTACTCTGTGTATACTATGGAGCGGCAGTACTTACCACACATATTACAATATTAGATGTTTGTCAGTGGTGCTCAGGATCTGCAAATCATTCGCCATCATCCTATCAGTCCTAACTCTTGTTTATGTGGTAAGTGAAATTTTATGTACTGTAATGTAACAGGCTACCGCTAGCAAGCGGCTAACCATGTCCCTTTAGTGGCTCTGCAGAGCGCGTTATTCATTCTTCATGCCTTTCCGAATACGTATTCACTATTCGGGCACATCCCTACTGTGAAGGGCCCAATTCAGTACCCTAAAATCCAGGATCGATCTGAGCCCTCCATCCTTCTTGGGTACAATGAAGTAGTGGCTGTAAAACCCCTTCTCCACCTCAGCTAGGGGGACAGTCTCTATTGCATCCTTCGCTAGAAGGACGGTGATGTCCATCCAAAGGACAGCAGCACTCGTTCCTCATAGTGAACTAAAAAGAACGCCACAGAACCTGGGCAGGTGCTTTGCAAACTTAATCGCAATTGGGTCGAATGGTCCTGAAAAGCCAATAGGGCAGGCTGGCACCAAGCATCCAGACACCACGCCAATGTCCTCAGTGGAACTACATTTGATGTACCTGAGGCAAGGTTCCTGCAGCATTGTGGAGCAAGGCTCACCATGCCGAAAGACATCATGTCCCTCATGACGCATGGTGATGGATGAGCAACACCAACCTTGCTCCTCAGGTCTGTTGAATAAACCACTGACACATACAGGAACCTGAGTTTGCAGAGGTCCGTCCTTCTGACTTGGCAACAGACCTGGCGCATCAATACGTGAGCAGTGTATCTGCGTCTGAACAGGCTTTGATGCCTAAGTTCAGTGCCTGGCCATTGTGAAAACGAAGCTTGTCCAGAAGCATTATAAGCTCTCGCCACAAGAAACGGAGTAAACTTACACGCCCTGGACGGGAGTTCCAGGTGGTGGCAGTTTGTGGGCAAAAATGCTCCGCAATCGCATTCTCCACATGGGGGACCACCGTGAACCCCCACGCTGGACCCCAATGAGGGCGGTGAGAACGGAGGTGCTGGTGTATCGTGTTCTGGCAGAAAAAGATGCCTACCACAATTTCATCAGCTCCTCGTGCACTTCCAGGAAGAAAGGATCTGGGGCGGAGCACGGCTGAGTGTTATGCTTGGTCTCCAAGAACCAATCATCCAGCCAAGAGCGCTCAGGACAGGGTGGAGAAGTCCATTCAAGCCTGATGCTCTCTGCTGCCCAGGTAAGGAAGGCTGCCATCTTGGCTTCAGGCTCAGACTGACACACAGCACCTGGAATTGCCGGTTTAGTCGAGTCATTCACTTCTGATCGGTCAGACCCGCCCTCAGATGCTGCGATAGATAACTTATCCTCATCGCGAGCCCCGAATGAGAGATCGAACCTGCAGGTGCTCAAACTCATTCAGAAACTCAACTGGAGAGCACGTGCAGTGGGAAGAATGAGAGGTTCATAGGAAATCATCCGGCAGAACTGCTCCCGCAACATCTCCTTGCTCTTTAGAGCATGAGAGCAACCTGCCGATAGCCATGTCCTCACAAGTAGAACGTAAACCATCCAAAAAAGCTGCTTCAGCATGGGCGTGGCCCAAACACTGTGCAAAGCAATTGTTGCCTGTCTGAGGGTGAGATGTACTGCAACTGCAACCAGAAGGGCATGGACGGAAAGGCATGGTGTGCAATACACAATCCGACCATTAATTCTCTTTTAGAGAAATTGCTCTTTTATAAGAATTTTGCTCTCAAAGATCACAGTCGAAGCACACAGGACAACTCTCACTACACTTAAACTGTGTAAACGTCATATAAACCCTCCATATTGTTTTAGGTGATTGTGCAGCGCTGTCTGTCTGCCAAGAACCTGTCTCATGTGAAAGCGGGCTGCATCCTGTGTGGTTACCTCAAACTTCTGCCAATGTTCCTCATGGTTTTCCCTGGCATGATCAGCCGAGTGCTGTACACAGGTAAGAAAGACTGGCACCATCCTGGGTGAGAAGGGTGATAAACTGATGAACCATTTTGCACATGTCAACAAGTATGCTGACTAAATCTTAACTGAGTGATCTGAGTTATATACGGTGAACATAGTCTCAGAGAACTGGAGTTTTGCATAAAGTCTGGTCCACTTATTTATCATAGAATATGCTAGCAACTTATTTTAGCAAACACCTACCTACTTAGGCAAGTAGAGAGTCTGATTTACACTTTAAGCAACCATCCGCAGTTTGTTTTGTTTGAAGCAGTGTTGTTATTGTTAACTACAACTGAATCTATTAAAAAAAAAAAATTGTATATTGGAATAAAGCTGAAATAATATGAAATCAAACACAACTAAAAAATTCAATTAAATCTTAAATTAATAAAATTAAATAAAAACGTAAACTTAAAAAATAGAAATGAAAATTACAAATAAGTTTAAGTTAAAATACTAAAATTATTTTAAAATACTGAATTTGAAAATAAAGCTAAATAAAAATAAAAAATGGCAAAAGCACATGACAAAAAGACTAAAAGTTAAACTAAAATTAAAACGAAAATATAAAAATAAAAGCTAATTTAAAATGTTAATAAATACTATAAATAGTATACTAAAATAATATTAATTCCCATGTTTTAATTAGTTATTTAATATAATTAATTAATTCAATTAATGTATTAATTGTGCACCTTAATGATAATAATAATAATGTTTTTATTCTTCTGATAAACAATTATATTTTTAAATTGTGTTGAACAGCAGACTTAATAATAATTAAATATCAGTTCTGCATATGGGACATTAAACATTATAATAAAAATGACAAACATTAAAATAAAAATGAAAAATGTAAATATAAAAATTTAAGTTTATTTTTAAAATGCTAATAAATACTCTAATACCAATAATGCTGACATAATACTAAAATAACACTGGTTTCAAATGACATTTCAGGGAGGGTAAATCTCAAATTCATGACTGTATAACAATTACAGTGGTATATGTAAAAGTTATGTGGACTTGTGATAAGTAATTCTGACAATCCGAAGGTAAACTTTGTGACATTTTTGTATGCAATATGCATCAGAAGGTCATTGAATTGTGAAAGACTATTAGAGAAACTAATGTTTGTGTTTATCCTCTTGTTTGTGTCAGATGAGATTGCATGCGTGGATCCAGCAGAGTGTGACTACTACTGTGGAGCCAGTGTGGGCTGCAGTAATATTGCTTATCCAAAACTAGTGGTGGATCTGATGCCAAACGGTAAAGAATAATCTGATATTTCTATTTCTGTCTCTTACATCTCTAATAGACTGCTTTGATAGATCTGTTTGGTGATATGGCTCTAAACTGCTGTGTGTGTTTACGAAGGTCTCAGAGGGTTGATGTTGTCCGTCATGTTGGCCTCTCTGATGAGTTCACTCACTTCCATCTTTAACAGCTCCAGCACACTCTTCACCATAGACATTTACACCAAGATCTGCCCCAAATCCAAGGAAAAGGAGCTCATGATCGCGGGGAGGTGTGTTCGCGTGTCTGCTTGTTTGTGTTGGATATTGATTTTCTGATTTTGTGAGCAGAAACTGAGATGAATAGGCTCTGAGAGGCTTGTGTTCATGTGTTTAGGGTGTTCATGCTGTTTCTGATCGGCGTGAGTATCGCGTGGATCCCCATCGTTCAGTCGGCTCAGAGCGGGCAGCTCTTCGACTACATTCAGTCCATCACCAGTTATCTGGCTCCACCCATTGCTGCTGTCTTCACCCTCGCCATTTTCTGCAAGCGAGTCAATGAACCAGTGAGTTAAATCTAAACATTTCGTAGCTTTGCAATAATTTTGTTTCCATTTTGCTAGTTTGAAGTTTTAAAATTTTATTAAATATACTTTTTTTATGTTTTTTGTTTTTTTTTACAAAAAAACATCTAAATTTGGCTGCAGATTATTATGTTGGCTTGACAATGTGCTAAAACATGCTAACAGTGTGTTAAAATATGCTAGCAACATGCTAAAACATGCTAGAGACATGCTATCAACATGCTGAAATAAGTTAACAATGTGCTAAAACATGCTTGCAACTCTTTAAAATCATAGATAATATATTCATAGATACCTCATTAATGGCTGATACTATGACCCATGTAAGCCGTCCGCCAGTTCGAGAGCAAGTTTGTCTGTCTGCAACCAAAGTTACATGCATGTATGAATATCTACATCTGCAATAGACTTCAGCAAATGATTTTGCTAAACTACAATATAAGAAGACGAAAGCATTAGCTAACACATCAAAAAGCTACCATAGTTTAAAAACCTGTAATATTGAGTTATAAAAACACAAACCAACACATTCTCACCTGTGAAATGTTATCCCATTTCTTTGGGAATTTAAGTCTCAGAGGTTTTTACAACCAGAGGCTGCACAAAATTTTAAAACTTCAAGCTTTTCACAGTTATTTTAAACGTCCAGACCTGCTTTGTCAAGTCAACATCAAGTTTGTCATCAGACTTTACTCATCTAGTTTTCTGTCTGTTGACACATGTTGTTGATGTGTCCTCACAGGGTGCTTTCTACGGGTTGTGTATTGGTCTGTTGGTGGGTCTGGCACGTATGATAACTGAGTTTGCCTACGGCACAGGCAGCTGCGTGAGTCCCAGTCACTGTCCCACGATCATCTGTGGTGTGCACTACCTCTATTTTGCCCTCATCATCTTTGGCCTGTCCTGTATATTGATACTGGGCATCTCCCTCATGACCAAACCCATTGATGACAAACATGTAAGCTCTTCTTACAACTAAACTATAAAGTTCAGAATACTT